CTCAGAAATACAACTTGCCTAATAATTCTGCACTCCCTGTATATCACTGATGGGATTCTTCAGACTTATGCAACTGTCCAAACATGCATGGTCCTGTGTGGAAAAAGTAACGCAGTGAAGACGTGTTGTCTGTGGTGACACATCACACTTCTCCATCTAACAAACCTGTGGACAAATCCAGGTTTGGCAGTTGTAAGGATGGCGGTACTTGTCTGGGGCTGCTTTGATTTCCTGGACGACCATGAATTCTGCTCTCCACCAGAAAAAGAGAAATTTCTGGCCATCAGTTTATTCCCTGAAGCTCAAGCTCACTTGGTTATGCAGCAGGGCAGTTATCCAGAACACACCAGCAAGTCCACCTCTGAATTGCTCCAGAAAAAAAAGTTTCTGTAGTGGACTATTCAAAGTTCAGAGTTAAATGTGCCTGAGATGCTTTGGCATGACCTCAAACAGGCTGTTCACACTCGAAAATCCTCCAGTGTGGATGAATTAAAATAATTCTACAAAGACGGGCGTGCCAAACAAAGAAATGCTCTATGGCAGTAATTGCAAAGACTTGATTACAGTTTGTTAGGTTTAGGGGGAAATTACTTTAACACACAGGACCTGGAAGACTTGGTTAGCTGTTTTCATTTAGTAAAGAAAGTAATTTAAAGCTGCATTTTGTATTTACTTAGGTTATCTTTGTCTAATTTTAAAATTTGTCTGATGATCTGAAGAATTTAAGAGTGACAAATATGCAGAAAATGAAGAAATCAGAAGATGCTGTACAGACACTGGACAGACACCTCTGTTAGTATAACAGTGCTACATCAGGAGACATTATTATAGCCTATAATATTTTTACATAATTGTTTTTTTCATATGTTCTGTTTTACTATATCTTGTACCTTCACATTTTATTTGGATTATTTCTCATTGAATTTTCCCCGAGCATTGACCTTTTTCTCCTTTTCCACCTTCCAGTCTTTGCTCTGATTTTATTTAGTGCAACAATTAGATTCCACCTTTATTTTATTTCTTAGATATTGTCATATTGTAGTGATTTGCATTTCTGTGTTTATATAAGCCAATGACCGATGTATACCAGCCGTTCTCTAACTGTCTCTCCATTTCATTGTCCTTTATCTCCACAACCAATCTTTATTCGTACCTTTATTGTTCCTCCTTCTTATTCCTACCTGGAATCTCTCCTATTTGTTTCAGATGGTTGAGGATTGGTTTAGTGGTTCTGGGCCTGACGGTTCAGGTTTGAGCTCAGAGTTCGCCGCTGTCCTCACCTCAGACTTCGGCTCTAGTTCTGGTTCTGGTTCTGACTTTGAGTCAGCATGGGGTTCAGGCGAGGTATACTGCCCAGTTTGCCTGGAAAACCAGCAAACAAAGAAAGGCAGAATTTCAGTCAGCGCTAGAGCATTGAGGTAGACAACATTTAGCTTTCACCGTGATAAAACGGTGTCAAAGCAATAAAGATGAACCTTAGCTAACTACCCTAATGCTCAGGCACAAATGACTGCACATTATCTCCAACTACGTTATCTTAACTGCTGGCTTGCTTGTGCTAAAGCTGAAAGTGATCATCGCTGTGCCATGAAACCCAAAGTGGTTCTTTTACTTTCAGTTCCAAAATTGTCATTGCCAAGGAAAAAAAACCAGCTTGACATTTTACTCTATATGATGACAAACAACTGAACTGAAAGGATCTGGCCACACTCGTATTGCTTATAACCTCATGCTTCTCTCACTGCACATGGTAAAGGAACTGCTCTGCCTTTTGCACCAGTCACATTCATTTTTTACTTCTGTTGGCTGATTTTTCTCAGGGATATCAGGGATATATAAACTACTGTATATATATATATCCCTGCGTCTGCTACTAAAGTTACAAATGGGCGATTTCTACATGAACCAAACAGTTGGGTAAGTAAAGATTTGTATGTGACAGTGCCACCAAGGTCACGTGACAAAAAGCTCTCAATATTATCAGTTAAACGAAATATCCTGGACTAGATTAATGTGCTGGATTGATGAACAAACAGAAATCCATATTATAGCTTTAGTAGTAAGCAGTCTTCTCTTGGATCAGCTGGCAGTGAATGTGTTACCAATGAAGTCTGAGGTTTTATGGGTCCATCAGTGGGTTGGCACAGAAACACTGCTCTGAGTGGTGCTGCTTGATTAAAGGGATAAACTGAATGTATCATCACTTCAGCTTGCTGCTAGGTGATGAAAAAAGAGGCGATAAAATCATCCTCGCCTATATGGTTGATGACATCGATCCTTCACGCTACAGCACATTTAGCTAAATGGCAAACAGTCACAAACACCTTGAAAATTGTTCAATTTATTTGTATGTTGCTGCTTTGAATTGTTTGTGCCAGTTGGACAAATAAGAGGCAATGATATAAACAGCCATTTACCATTGTCTGCGTTAAAGCAGAACGTTTTGTTTTGAGGTTAAAATCATCATTTAGTGCAGAGCAGTGTTGGCATGGATGATATTATCATTTAAGGAAGCTGAAGAATCGAACAGCTTCCAAACATTCATGTATTCCTTTAAGGTGACGAGGGTCACAGTTGCACTCTGGATTGTTCCTGTTGGAACAGCCAAAGTGTCAACACACAGCGACAGTATGCTCCCATACTAGCATACCTATGACTTACCACAGCTTTATTTCTCTGCACTCTGCATGTGTCTTTCTATATTTCCAGGGTCCAGCAGGAAAAGCTGGTCCTCCAGGTTCACCTGGGGCTGCAGGCGAGAAGGTATGAACACCAAGAGCTAAAAGAAAAGACATCTAACCTTATTGCCAAACTTCTGCACATTTTTAGTGTAGACAGTCTTTATTAGTAATGATAGGTAACTAAAGTATATTAACTCCTTTACTTCCTTTAGGGTGAGCAAGGCCTACCTGGGCCTCCTGGGCCAAAGGTAATTTATACTACTCAAAACAGAGTCATACCTATAAATGGCATCCTGTTCACATCGTTTGGTAGCCCACAAATAAATACATTTCCTGTTCTTGTTGTTACTAATGAAAGTCTCCTGTTTGTCTGAGAAGGGTGAAAGTGGGTCAACGGGTGTCCAAGGAATTCCAGGGCCTCAAGGGCCTATTGGTCCAGAAGGAAAGAGAGGCCTTCCAGGCCCACCAGGACCTCCAGGCCCACCAGGACCTCCAGGAACCAAATTCTTTGCAGAGGTGACCCAACCCAGTTTATTAATCACCTGTCCTCCACATATCACTGCTACTATATAGCCTCATATAGATTAACGAGAGGAAAATGAGAATTGTGGTAGAAAACATTAAAAGGTCGTGTCTTTTTCATCACATTGAAGCTCAATAACTATAGACCATGGCTTCGTTTTCAGGATATGGAGGGATCTGGCATGACTGATCAGATTACTGGAGTCAGAGGCCCACAGGTCAGTGTGAGGGGATATATGAGTTTATGTACAGTATATCTATTGATTCATATAACGCATCCTTTTTGTTCTTTTAAGGGTCTACCTGGCCCTCCAGGACCACAGGTAATCTGTTTATGAATTTTCAACAAATTTACAGATAGCTACAATGACATGTTTAACAACTAATACTCGACATCTGGTTACTCTTTGAGTAGGGTGCTCTTGCTGAACATACTTGTTTGTGTTTTCTGTAGGGTAAGGATGGAGCACCAGGAGCTCCAGGGCTCTCTGTCAAGGTAAATTCATTTTGGAATGACACAACTTCTATGTTTCTGATATGCAGTATCAATTATCATCCACTTATTGTTTATATTTAGTGGCCAACAGGTTGTGTATTTTATGACCTAGTTGAGAACTATTGAGCTAAAGTGTTTTTGGTCATTGATGAAACAGCGTAGTTCATCTATGTGAACTTAACTTTCTCTAATCATTGGAATGCACGTTATATTTCACGTGAGCCACACATTACGTTAGAGTGAAATCACCATCACTCTTTGCAGCTTTTTTATTACCTCATTTTCTGCTGTGTCTGATGGCAGGGTGAACCAGGAGAACCAGGACCAGAGGGTCTCCGGGGTCCTGCTGGACTACCAGGTCCTAGGGTAAGTAGCAGTGTTAGATGGCTGAGGTGGTTGGCAGTTCAAAAGTAGTTAGCAGCAAAAAAAACCAAATACTGCAAAAATGATACAGACAAAAAAAGGCTCTAGTCTAAAATCTTCCAGAACAGGCACCTTGTCAAAATATTGCAAAAAGCTATGTTATATATCTATAATTAATTTATTTGCCAACATTTTAGGAAACATTTTTTACAGATAAAATGTCTGAATGGTCCATTCTCCTTGGTAACTAAGACGATCCTCTTTAGCCTGGAGGACATGGTGTATGTTTTCCAACAACTCTCCCTCCACTCCCACTTTCATGAAGTGCTTGCTCACAGGGTGTCATCTGAGTGGCGGGGTATTATTGTAGGGTCACTGTTGTTGTGATTTATATAAATAAAATCGAATGCATTGAAATTAATTCGCACTATTCACTTATTCACTGTGCAACATTTTCTTCCTCTTTACAAACAGGGGGCCAAAGGAGAGAAAGGCGGTCCAGGACCCAAGGTCGGAACAACTCTTTTATCCTAGATGTGATTTGTTGTATCATTTTCATTTCATCTTTCTGTTTTGTTGTTTCCTCTCATGTCTTTCAAATACCATGTTTGTTTCTAAATGTCTGTTTCTGGTAAGGGACTAATGATTCTGCATTATGTGAATTGCAGGGTGAAAGAGGAGCTGATGGCCTCAGTATCCAAGGACCACCTGGGCCTCCTGGGGCTCCTGGACCTGTCATTAATGTACATGATGTACGCACATACACACAACATGACATTTAATTGAATGAAGACTTAAGATGGAGGCAGACCAACAAACAACTGTGTGGTCGTAGTGGTAGCTGTGCAGACATGCTGCTTTTTCCATATCTCTGAATATACTAAAGGTGCCCTAATGTGATCATTATATCTTCTGTCTACAGCTGCTCTATAATGTCACAGAGGGTATCCTCAACGTCACAGAGATCAGAGGACCACCCGGGCCTACGGTGCGTAGCTTCAAGTGAACTACAGTGTGTTTTAGGTTCTTTGTTGTTCCGCTCCGTCGTGGAGTATGGATGAAGGGGGTCGTAAATGAACTGATATTAAGACTTTTGCTGCAGCTGCAGGTGTGTTTGGTGAGCTTTTGCTTATGTGTGTGCTTTTCTCTGCATGTGTGTGTGTGTCTGCATGCTGCAGGGTCCTGAGGGATTGCCTGGCAGAGCTGGATTTCCCGTAAGAACATTTTGCTACACCGCTTTTTGTCCCAAATAATTAAATTCAGGAAAACTGGATGTAAATATTTATGTGATTATTCTGGATTCTTTTTCTTTTGCTGTCTTTTGGCTAAATGGGGTAGGTACCAGAGAAATCTTTAAACACACGGTTTCATTACAACCTTTTCTTAATCTTCCAACTTTCATCTCTTCCTAGGGCCCCAGGGGACCAAAGGGAGACATAGGACCTACAGGTATCCAGGGCCCCGCAGGGCTTAAGGTAAGAACTGAATATGAAGATTCATAAAGCATGTTCATGTAGATTTCGATGCCTATGAAACAACCCTAAACACCTCTCCTCAACATAAACATACATTTAATTTTGACAGGGAGAGAAAGGAGAACCAGGGGTGACAATTGCTGCTGATGGATCTCTCCTGTCTGCACCAAGAGGCCCTCAAGGGCCCAAAGGCACAAAGGTAGCCAACAAGTGACCTTTTTACCCCTAAAAGACTTTCTATATATTTAGTTACTTTGTGGTGAAAGACTTTAATGTATTTAATAATCTGTATCTAATGCTGGAGCCAAATAATGTTTGGTCCCTGTACTAGTTTAAGTGAATTCCTGTTTATGCAGTTCCTATGCAAGAAACATCTCCTGGATGCATTGGTACGCATGTATGTATCCTGGGGTCATCAGGTGTTTCGGTTCATCATACACCCGCGCCCAGGCGACCCAGCTGGGGGTGATCAGGCTCCGACTTGCATACCAATAGCTACCCGCGGATCAGCCCTTTTAATCCGCAGCCACCTTGTGGCTTTCTCTGCCGCTTCACTCACAGCCTGGATGGCCCTCTTCTTGGCTGCCTCAGCCACACCCACCTGGCCGAGGACTTTGCAGAGTGATCGTCCTACAAAGCCCCTTCATCCCACTTCTATGGGCTCATAGAATGTCTTCCAGCCTCTTCCCCTGCACTCCTGCACTCCTGCACTCCTGCACTAGTTCCTGGTACTTGGCACATTTCCTCTCATTGGCCTCCTCGATCCGCTCTTCCCATGGCATTGCGAGTTCCAGCATGATCAGATGTTTTGAGGCCTCAGAAGTGATGATCATGTCTGGCCAAAGGGATGTCTTTACTTAGAGAGGGGGGAAAGTCCAAGTTTACCAGCTTGTCTATAAGAATGTCTGGGATGATGGTATTGAAGGCGGAGCGGAAATTAATGAAGAGCATCCTTACTGATGTCCCAGGATTCTCCAGGTGATGCAGAGTGGAGTGGAGGGCGGTGGAAATTGCATCCTCTGTGGATCTATTTGCCTTATAGGCAAACTGGTGGGGGCGAAGCTGGGTGGGAGGCAGTCCTTTATGTGTTTTAGGACCAGCTTCTCGAAGCACTTTGCAACCACTGGAGTCAGTGCGATGAGTCTGTAGTCACTGAGGCTACTGATGGTGGTGGACTTGGGGACTGGGACTATTGTTGATGATCTCAGGCAGTGAGGGACAGAGGCATGTGTCAGGGAGAGGTTGAATAGTCTGGCGAACACAGGAGCCAGCTGGTCGGCGCAGGCTTTGAGCACTCTAACACGTCGGGGCCAGCAGCTTTCCTCTGCTCTGAACACATTGCGGACCTGATGTTGTTGGAGGCTAAATGTGTGGGGGCTGTGCTCAGAGGACGCTGTGGGCAGGGTGGGTGCATGGTGGGGGTGAATAGTCCAGTTTTGCTGCTCTGATGCTTTTTTTAAGGTCTGCTCTTGCTCTGCTGTACATGTCCTGGTCCCCAGATGTGTATGCAGAGTACAACAGTGCCTGAACCTTGCTTGTCATCCAGGGTTTACGGTTGGGGTAGACCCGGACCAGCTTTTCCGTGGTGACAGTGTCCATGCAGTGTTTGATGTAACCCAGCACTGTGGTTGTGTGAGTCTCTAGGTCATCCTGTTCAAAGACACTCCACTCTGTGAGAGCAAAACAGTCCTGCAATTGAGCGAGAGCTTCCTCAGAAATGGTGTTAATGGTTCTGATGGTGGGCTTTGTCCTTCTCCTGAGTGGTGTGTATGCCGGGACAACGAGTAGGGAGAGGTGGTCGGACATGCTCAGGTGGGGGAGGGGAACACATCTGTAGGCTTAATATTTGAGTAAACATGATCCAGGGTGTTATTTCCACTCGTAGGGCATTTCACATGTTGTACAAATTTAGGCAGCACAGTTCTTAAGCATGCTCTGTTGAAATCCCCTGCAATGATGTGTACTCCCTCTGGGTATGTCCGTTGCTGTTCGGAGATCATGTCGTGCAGGTGTGCAAGGGCTGAGCTAGCATTAGCGTCTGGTGGTATGTAGACTGCTGTTATTAGCACTGCAGGCAGTTCTCTGGGCAAGTAGAAAGGTTTGCACATGACAGACATTGCCTCTATGTCCGGGGAGCAGACTGTGGCGATGATCTTGGTGTTCGTGCACCAGTTGTTATGTGTGTAAATGCACAAACCTCCTCCTCTGCTTTTCCCCACTGTAGACTTTCTGTCGCTCCGGTGCATTGTGCGGCCTGCTAGCTGCATTGAGGCGTCAGGAATTCCCTCTCGTAGCCATGTCTCCATGAGGACCAGGATGTCGCAGACGATTGGCTGTGCGGCGAGAAGTGGGTTCAGTTCGTCTATTTTGTTGACGACCGAACGTGCATTGGTCAGGAAGACGCTCGGGAGCAGTGGTTTGAAAGGCTGCTTCTTTAGCCTGGCTAGCAGGCCCAACCGGCATCCCCGCTTTTGTTTGGTTCCTTCCGCCGCCTGCGTTTCTTGGCAGAGCCGATAACAATCCACGGAGCGCCCGATGTTCTCGCTATCTCCGGGGGGATGTTGTGCATCCTCTGATAATCACTGGTAATGGGGATCTGGCTGTTATATCCGATCTTGCATGATTCCAGATGGTTGTAGGAAAATTTGGCTTTACAATAAGAAAAACAAAAGAAGAAGAAAAAGAGGAGAAACGAAAAAGAAAGGCACCTAAGTGGAGAGCATAGAGCCGCTGCATCTGTGCGCGCCGGCATCTTGTCCTATGTGCTGGAGGAACTTTAGCTGTTTACCCAGGTCAGCCCGTAGCTGCCAATCAGAGGCTGTGTTGAGGAGGCCGGTTGTTAACCGTGGACATGCCTGGGATTTCTCTCCAGCCTTAATGAAAGAGATTGCCTTCTTCGGAGCGTGATGGTGCTTGCTGGTGTTGATTGCTGAGGCAATCTGCTCAGCAACTACTCTGAGCACCTGGTCATGATGCTAATGATACCAAACATTAGCCAGGGCTGTCGGGCTGCTGCTGAGGAGGTGTTCTAGGGTGCCTCTTCCAGACCACAGAGGACAGGCAGATGTCTTGCTCTTCCCCCACACAAGGAGGTTTACTGGGCTTGGCAGGGTGTCGTATACTGCCTGCACGAGGAATCAGACACGGTGGAAGTCTGCCTGAATGATGTTTGCTCAGGTGACCTTGCACTGCAAGGTACTGTCTCACCTTGTCCACGCTCCCTGCCGCCTGAGTCCTACGGCCCTGCTTACTCGCTCATCCTCCTCACCTGCACGGACCTCTTCCTGGAGTAGCTGGTGTCTCTCCTTTCCCTGTGCCCTGCTGACCTGGGCCTTCGGAAGTACCCCAAGCCTGTTCTCCCTGTTGCTAAGACCCCCACCAGTGTCTTCTGTCTTATACGTGACTCTGCCACTTCAACTGCCTTCTCTGCCTTCCACTTTCCTTAAATGAACTATTAACATAGAATACTAACCTCGGTCCCTAAATAATGCAAGTCCTAGTTTTTGTTAACAAGGGTGCCATGAAGGTTGAAACTGAAATTTGCTCAAGGTATAAATAGGTCTAAGTGCTTTTAAGGACCTTTCATGGGTTTTTTAATGAAAAAGAATGACCTAGAATAACATCTTTGTTATTTTATAGAAAGAACTAGTCTGAAACTATGAAAGCAACCCACCGCTGTCATTACTTCCACCTATGTAATTCTCACATTTTGCTGCTTTACTGTGCACAGGGTGACCATGGCTTCCCAGGACCTACTGGACTTACGGTGAGTTTTATGAGAACATCACAGTAAGGAAATTTCTGCTACACATTCATCCTTTATGTATGTTATTACACTGAATATAAGTGTGTGTTTGTTTATTTCAGGGTCCAATAGGACCTCCTGGACAAAAAGGAGAATATGGTTTCCCCGGGCGACCCGTGAGTAATTTTGCATGTTTGATTATTAAGATATGAACGCCTCATCTATAGGTTAAAAGTGTTCTGAACTTGCACATGAAAGTCAAGGGAAACACAGAACCACTGAGTGGAATATACTTGCCAGTGATTAGCAGAACAATGTGTCATGTTTTTCAGCATACTGATTTTTTCCCTAACTAGTCATAATGGGAAATGACAAGCTGCTTGGTGGTTTTCTCCTTTCGATTCACTTTTAAATATAAGAACTACATTCATAACGCTCTTGTTTCTGTGCCTTCAAACACTTTTCTCCCTATCATGCATGCACTCACAGTCCAATGGATTCTGTTCAGTGTTTGGGAAAACCTCTTGAGCCAAAAGTACTGAAGCTTTTTCGTTCTTCCCTCTATGTAGGGGCGACCTGGTATCCCAGGGAGGAAAGGTGACAGAGGAGATTCTGTTGGCCTACCGGTAAGAGAATTAAGGCATGAAGGGATTGCAGAGAGAGAGAGCATTATTTTACACTTAAATCATCCATGAGTAGTATACTGTTGCATTTTATCATCATATCATGAATCATTCTTCAGCCAGTTATTTTACAGCTAGTACATCTGACTATAGGGTGTGGCACAACTGTTGAAACTTCCCCATGTAATCATTGGATGGGTAGCGCACATCTCAGCAGCAAAACCCCAGCGCCAAACCCAACAATATGACCCCCTATGAGCAAGCACTTTGGCAACAGCGGGAAGGAAAAACTCCCTTTTAAGAGGAAGCAGCAGGCTGGAGGAGCTTCAATAAATGCCATATATGAAACTGATCTGATGTGTCGAAGTTGATGTCGTGGCCCGTCTAAATTAATCCTCAATATACATTCACACACCAAGACTCAGACATAAGCACAGACACTGGCAGGCCGTTTTTGAATTCATTGTAATCATTTTTTTTTGAATAGTCATTGCCATTCTTGTATGTGTGTTTTTAGCGACATCATATTTGTTACAAATAGTTTTATTCTCTGTCTCAGGGACCTCCAGGTCCTCCCGGCCCACCTGGACTTCCAGGAAGAATTATTGGCCTGAATGGAGTAAGTATGACTCAGAGAAGCAAAACATCAGTCACTAGCATATTTACTGGCCAGTTTATAAGGCAGTTGCACTTCCTATATTAATTCCATCTCAAACTCCAGAGAATAGGTGGGGAGTGTCAACATCAGCGAGGACCTGGTTCTGAATGATGACTGATCATTTGTGTCCCTGTGTGTTACTGTTCTCACATCTCACACATGTGCAAAGGAGACAGGACAGCATAGAGAGTGCACGATGACATCAGCGGACAGCAAAAGTATTAGTTCTGATTAGGTTCAAGTCTTTTTATGAATAATACCAGTTTATATAACCAGCAAGAACTGGCAATATTGCAAACCAGAACTATCAAATCTTACATGGTTTTTGCCTCAATTCATAATTCAGGATTTACTCACTGGTTTTAACTCACCACCTTAAAGTACCTTAAAAATATGTCTGGCTGAATTTTCCTGACTAGTTACGAGTTTTATCCTGCTTGTTGAAGAGTGTTGACATTTTTAATAAATGCTGCCAAAATTTCAGTAAGTTATAAGCAGCCGATTGTCTCTCTGTATAAACTTTTATACATAAAAAGCGGTAAACGTGGAAAAACATGACTAATGCTCGTGTGCAGGTTATGATCGTGACTCATTTAACATGGTGGGTGATTGACTTGTAGTCTGATTCCGCTGCTCTTCTTTGAATCTTAAAGACAGTGTTCCCGGTGCGCCCCAGACCGCATTGCAAAATGGGACGAGTAAGTCTGAGTCTGACCATCTGATTGGTTCATTTCAGTTGGAAGTTGGTGGTTCTGTTGGTGTGAGGGTGTCACAGCATGGCAGCTCTCTGGTGTGGGCCTCAACCCATTCCCCATTTCCTCTCCGTGTTTTCCTTCCCTTCATTTTGTCCTTCTTTGCTCTCCTAATGGTTTTTGAAAAGGCAACATGAATGTGGAGCTGGCCCTAATTCCTCTGGCTTTAACATGTGGTTGTTTTGTATTCTGTATATGATTCATCACTAGATTACCAAAAGCTCAACATTTTCTTCAAATTACCCAAAGACCAATTCGTATATTTGGTACCATCAGTACCTCTTACTTCACTTATACTTCAATCCAATCTTTCCACTCAGTACAAACACTGATATGCCAGATGTTAAAGGGGGGGCGGGGTCTAAATTCTGCTTGCCTTCTCTGTTTCTTCCCTTAATCATCGTCTCAGGAAGAGGATGCTGTGTAAACCTTTGAAAAGAAGAAGGAAACAGACATCCTTTTACTGCATGTAGATCAGAATTGGTTCAATCAATTGGAGAAAAAAAACAGTCTGTGTGGAGGTGGTCACTTCTATTTTTAACAACCTTTTTCTTATTGTAATGAAATAATGATAAACCCATCTCTGATCTACGTGTTCTCAGATAAACAAGGTTCGTGACCTTCAGTACCTTCTGTCATGGTGCTGAGTGTTTGGTTTGGTTGAGCCTTCTCTTAGAAGTGACACCATGTGGAGACATGGTGTGCTGAAAACACCACGATGACTGCTTGGCTAAACTTGTTTTACTTGGCTAAAATGTTTTTAGGTAGTTAATGAAGTGCAGTAACAGGACATTCTCTGTGTAAATGGCCTCTCTGCCATCTGTCAGAGGGCTTTGGGAGGTCTTCAAGTCGACTTTTGTTAAAAGTCATCCTTCAATGAAAAGCTTAAATCCACCATAATTTTTTCATCAGCCTTTTATAACACGTTGCTTGCTTGAACCTTAATCCTACATTTTAACCCAGGATGAGTGCTGCAGTCTGTAGCATGCATCCCTTGTATTTAACAGGTGTTTATGTAATCCTGACAATAATTTTTAGCTTTGATCTGCTTGTCTTTTTTACAATAATCCATTGTTTTTACCATAGTCTCTGATTGTGACGTTTGACTTTGCAAATTAACTTTCTGATGTTCACTTGTTTGTTCTGTTGTGTAACCCGACTGTAAATGTGCATAAGGGCCAGCTTCCCAACACAAATGTTATCTCAATGACGATGTATTTGTGCATAGGAGTCAATGACAAGGGGACATTCAGCTGGACCTAAAGGAGACAAAGGAGATGAGGGATTACCTGGGGAGCCAGGAACTCCTGGTGAGATCTTAAGATGACAGGATAGTGGACAGTGGTGGAAGTTCATTTTAAATATGGTCAATGTATCATGAGGCCAAAGTATATGGAAGTTCTGTCTATCAGCTGACATTTCACACCACATGTTCTGCTGCTTGCTTTGTGTGATTTGATATGTGTAATTTTTCTTCTTAGGGCTCACATTTCCAGATGGAAATGTGGTGAGTACTCACGTACAACACATAATACACAGTCGTGGTAAAAAAATAAATAAATAAAAAAAAAGTACATCTGCTTGGTTTTGCGTATCAGGACAAATTATTAAAACAATCTAGGAAGTAATAACTTTTCAAAGTACGGTAGTTTAAATGTATAACTTCTCAGATGTAACAACTTTAAACTATAAAACCAAGCTAACGCACAAACAAAACATTAAAACTGACAAACTGGCACTTGTTAAGCATTTAAGACTGAAATATGTGCTAATACACTAGAAATGCACCTTGATGGTGGCAGAGTGGTGAATCCTGAGCACTCTTTTGATCTCTCAGGGGACTAAAGGTGATCAGGGATACAAAGGTCAGAAGGGAGAAAAAGGGGATGCGGGCCTGCCTGGTCCTCTGGGGATCCCAGGGAGGTCAGGCCTTGTGGTAAGTTAAGCCATGTGGTAAAAATACTATTCTAGAACAGGAGGTTATTTAAAAAAATATTTTAAAATGATTATTTGTAAAAGCCGGATCTTCTGGCCAAAGCTGTGCAAATTATACCACTCTTTTACAATGAATTGAATTCTTCTGTTGTTTCTCTAGGGTCCGAAAGGCGAATCCATTGTTGGTCCAATGGGTCCTACTGGTTCTCCTGGTCAGCCTGGACCTCCAGGATTTGGACGGTCTGGACCTCAAGGTCCGCCTGGCCCTCCTGGGCCCCCAGGACCACCCCCTCCATACGGATCAAGTATGTGTGTCTATAAAGTTAAAACAAGTACCAAGTCACAGCCTGTACTATATGTGTATTGATTTTATAAGTTTAAAGTAATTGTGTTGTCATCAGCTGTCAGTGTCCCCGGCCCTCCCGGTCCTCCTGGTCCACCAGGCTCTCCAGGATATGCAAACTTTGTAAGAAACTGCTGAGGTGTAACCATACTTGGAATAAATGGAGAATCAAATGATTAGCTAACATTTTAAAGTGTCATCACTGATGCTCTGATGGTTTGTGTTCAGGTTACCAGCTATAAGACAATCCACGCCCTCACCCAAGAGGCACACCATGCTGCTGAAGGTACCTTGGCATATGTGTCTGAAAGGGGAGGCGAGCTGTACATCAGAGCACGCAATGGTTGGCACAAGATCCAGGTGTGTAGGACGAGACCAGAAAGATTCAATAGCTTTCAGGATATAATATCCTCTATAAGATCATCGTCCGCTGCATCTTCCTGTGAAGCTTCTACTTTCAAATCACTGTCCAAAAGAAATGATTTGTCCTCTTGTACTGTAGAGTTTCACCACACGTCCCAAACATGTGCAAACAGCAACATTATAGTCTCCTTCAAACTGCTTTTAGCGGTATAGCATAGAGCAGGGTTGTCCAACACCAGTCCTCGAGAGCTACTGTCCTGCAGCTTTTAGACGCATCCTTGTTCCGACACACCTGAATCAAATGAATGGCTTGTTATCAGGCCTTTGCCAACCTGATGGCTGCTGAAGAGGTAATCCCACCATTTGATTGAGCTGTGTTGGAGTAGGGATGCACCGAAGAGCCGCAGGACAGTAGCTCTCGAGGACTGGTGTTGGACACCCCTGGCCTAGAGTTTCCAAACCTGAAGGAGGCATTTTATGCCAAGAATGCGAACAGAAAGTACCTAATGGTTCCTCTGGATTACCGTCAGCCAGAGATGATGGGCATCACTTATCAACTTTGACCCAAGATGCTTCAATTGTGTGTGTTCAGTATTACATATATGTGTTTTGTTTTGATTATTCAATTAATGTATTATTTTGTAAGCTTGTCTTGTGTTTTCACTTGTCTGTTATTTGTTCCGATTATTTGCTCAAATATTTATTGAAAGGACTTTGCAATAATTTATTTAAATGAATAACTGAAGTGCTATGTGCAAAAATGCTGGACTGGACATCATTTTATATCAAACACTATATAAAATACAAATATTACTGTATTCTTCTGTTTGGATTTTGCCAGTGTGTCCTATTAATGCTGGTGGTAGTTTGTGTCTCACTGACATCAAGAGTAAACTGCAGTGTGTGTGTGTGTGTGTGTGTGTGTGTGTGTGTGTGTGTGTGTGTGTGTGTGTGTGTGTGTTCTGTGTCAGCTCGGAGAGTTAATCCATTATGAACCTTCATCAGACACATCTCAGTCCCTCAGCAGACCCGGAGAATGGAGTAGAGCCCATAGGATGCACAGCCAGGTCCAAACACCAATGCGCACACACTGGAACCTCACTGAACAGAACTTTGAAAGCAACTTAAAAAAAAATTAATTCAAAGTTGTTGTTTTTTTGGTTTTGTTTTCAAAAAACACACTTATCCAACTTTTTTGTTGAACAGGAGCTGCAGGAGGGAAGCAGAGGATACCAGCACAGTTATAACCTGCTACCACAGCATTTCAATGCAGTCTCTGGGGTGAGTCCAAACACATATTAGGCATACTCATCACAAATGAAGCCCAGTTCCAAACCCAGAGGGTGAAAATGAATTGGCTCACTGGAGGCCTTTCAGATTTTATATTTCATCTGTAATGAAGAGCACATCAGGTATGACTGAGAATACTTTCTCTAATCTTTGTGCTCCATTTCTCTTTCGTCTAGCTTCATCTCGTAGCACTGAACGCCCCGCTCAAAGGAGATATGCGTGGCATCCGCGGAGCAGACTTCCAGTGTTACCAACAGGCACGCGCCGTGGGGCTCACCTCCACATACAGAGCCTTCCTGTCATCACACCTTCAGGACCTGGCAACCATTGTCAGAAAGGCTGACCGCAATGACATGCCCGTGGTTAATCTGAGGGTGAGCAGAAGTTTTCATAGCACTACACAATACATGATGCAACACTTGGCTTTCTTTTCCAGCAGGAATATTTTCAGTATCAAATAAAATAGAGAGTAAAAGCGAGTGGCACATTTAAAAGATAGACAACAAAAAAATATGTCTTGTAAGTAGTGTAAGAAGAGAAATTTAAGATGCTCTATAATACAACCTGCAAACCCCTAGTAACACTGTGAATCAACATTGTAAGAAGGGGAAGTTAGTATGCTCTACAGGACATACTATAATAACAGTTGTGATAATCTAAGAAGGGGAAGTATTGTTGCTTTCTTGTTCCACTGCACCTACATCTTTAGTAGTAGTATTTTTAGGTATCAGAAAGTAGACCCAAATTCAAAGGAATTACACGGATATCAAACCTTAACCCTGAGTGCATTGTGTGGTTTTCTTCAAACAAAGAACAGATTATTCCACAAAGTAGAAGTGATATATTTTCTGGGGTTTTGTTTTTCTCATTTAAAACACATTATTTTTAACAGTTGGCATCTTCTTAAGCAAGCTCTTTCCCCCTGTCCTGCCTTCAGGGTCAAGTGTTGTTCAATAGTTGGATGTCCATCTTCTCTGGGAATGGAGGCGTGTTTGATCCGTCCACACCCATCTTCTCCTTTGATGGACGCAATATAATGAGTGACTCGGCTTGGTAAGTGGGTGTAGCAAAGGAATGAAAAATGATGCCATTTGCCAAAAATGATTAATTTAGGAGTTCCAGTTGGGCTAAAATGCTGGATAGAACGATTTTTATGATGTACAGGCCATAAATTTCATGTTCATGTGGACAGCAGCTCTCACTCAGATGAACAGTGGTACTGGCAAATGCATTTACGAGCACTTTTTAAGCATTTATGAGAACATGATGGAAGATGGAGAGTTTTTTTGTTGTCTTTTATTGAGAGTGAAAAAACAGTTTTCTCAGTCAGTTGGCAAATTGATCAGAAATACCAAAATCCTGCTCCATTCCTCAACTCACAGAAGGTTCTGGTGATATATAGCTTCTTTGTCAGCCTGCATAAATTCTCCTGTTTGTGCTGCGGGGGGTCAGTTATGAAAAGGTAATAAAGCCAGATAAACTTTGGTTGAACTGGACTATTGATGAATAAAGTCATCAATAGTCACATCCATCTCTCATATATAGTCACAGGCATTTTTAATTAAAGGTACAGTCAGGCGTTTGAGTTTGTTCTGTCTTCAAACAAATGACTCCATTCTCATAAACTTAGAAATAATCCGCAAAAAACACATAGTGGGTTTGTAAAAGCAGCCATGTTGCCCCATCTCCATAAACACAACGGCCACGATGGACATTGCCATTACACCTGATTGTGTTTTATGTATGTGATTAATGACCAGCCACATATGTAGTATGCCAGTCAAGAGGAAAGAACTGATAGACATTCGGGTTTCATAAAGGCAAATTTGAATTGCTTATTTACACCCAATATTTTCAGAATTACTTAGACAGCTGACCCTCCTGCCTTCAGGCAGCTGCAAAGAACCAGCTAAACACCCAGTTATGAATGTTATGAAGAATGTTAGCCTCGAATGTCCTAAAAATCAGCCCCCCCGATAAACTGTTTGGTTACATTTTCACATCAATAAGTGTCAGAGGCCAACAGTGTTAGAGCCACTTAAAGGAAAGTTTCACTAATGTTGACTAACAGCAGCTAACAGCCGCTAACAGCCGCTAACAGCAGCTAACAGCAGCTAACAGCAGCTAACAGCAGCTAACAGCTGCAAACTCACCTCAGTTTCCCCGTCATTGGTCAGAAATGCATCAGACTCCTCTGAGTTTTATAGCCTCCTCCAGCCTAAATAGTCATGGATGTTTCTCAACCAGCATTGACAGCTGAGGTAAACGCTCTAAATTTTATGTTTTTGGCTGACTTTGTCCTACAGTAGCCACCATAGCTAGGATTATGCACTTGAATTGAGATGGGTAAAAAAGAAGAAGTCATTTGACTGCAATCTACTGACATCTAGTGGTAAGATTTTTCACACTTTAACAAGCGTTCTTAAACCAATAAACTCAGGCCGCAGTGAGCAGACTTCATGAATTCATAAACCAAAGAAATATTTTATTTTTCCCTACTGTCACTAATCTGTGCCAGTGTATGCCATGCGATGAACTAAGAAGCACAGAAAAGCAAAGGCATGTGTTGCATTAGCCTGACAGTTTTATCAATCAGCTAAGAGTGATATTCAAAATTATAGTTTTAGTTGTAGAGTTATGAGCTCATAAGGAGTAACTCTCGGATTCAGTTTGGTCCTAATAACACACGAATGGGAAGCTTCTTACCTCAAGACACCAGGAGATGATGCACCTGTCTAATTTTAGATAATGAGGAGATAGGAGTCAAGTCAAGTCAAGTCAACTTTATTTGTCAATTCTGCCACATGTACAGGACATACAGAGAATAGAAATTTCGTTACTCTCAAACCCTAGTGATTAAAAAATGCAAATAAAATAATTAAAAAGTAAAAATTTAAATAAATACAGTACAATTTTACGTATAACAAAAAAAGCTA